AAAAAAAAAAAAAAAAAAAAAAGAGACAAAGAATTACCTTTGCATGAGACTTGAATAGTAGCCACCAGCAGAGAATTCATAGTGAGAGAGATGGCTTTGGCTCTTCATTAGGGTACCCTTTGATGCAGCTTGGATCCTTGGAGAGAAGGAGAATTACCTTTGCATGAGACTTGAATAGATAAGGCTTAGTCTCCATCCATGGATCTTTTTTTTTATGTTTCCTGCTTGGTTCTTGATGCAGCAGTTCTTTCTTTGGCCAGTTTGGCTATTTTCTTTTGCTTGTTGAACAATAATGTTCACATATTAAGAGACTAAAATTAAATGTGTAAAATTGTAAAGCAAAATGAACACTTTTAAAAGAAATATTATTGGAGATGTACAAAAAAAAAAAACTGTTCGCATTTTCTTGTATGTAAATAAGTTGGTTGTGGATATAAATTAAAGTTCACCCACTGAGAAAAAGATGATAATAATCGATTTAAAGAAAGTGATAGTGCGGTAATAATTCTCCACTGACTTAAACAAATATATGTATAAAATAATTCATTTCTAGGTGTTCAACTTCTCAATAATCTTTGCAAGGGCTGAATAAGTGCCAAGGGCTGAACATACTGTTCCTACGGTGATGATTACGATACATATCGCCACCTACAACACACACAAAAATGGTTATCAAGAGAGGATATGCATCTTAGCTACTTATAATACATTAGAGACTCAAAGTGGACATTTGTTTTTTCGTTTTCCCGGTTAAGAGATGTAAACCTGAGTAGGGGTTACTTTTGTCCTTAAGATGCTCAAGAAACAAGCGGGCGGTAGTATCAGCGTCTGTGTCCAGAAACACAACATTTATATGAAAATGCAAACTATATATGAATTTGCTTGTATAACAAGAAACCTTATATGTAACTTACAATGAGCATTGTCAAGAATGATCCAATCAATGACATGACAAGGCCTGCAAGAATTGAATGTCAATAAACATATATATAATTGAAAAGAGAGTTACACTTTTTTAAATATTATCTGTGCTCACCGAAAAAGGGAATAGCAAGACCAACAAGCAGAGTAGAGAAGGCCAGTGCGCTTCTAATGGCGATTGCATAAAAACGTGACGTGCCATGGTTTGATGGTAGTAACTCCACAAGACTCATTGCAACCGGAGATAATGTCAAAGCATATGTGATTTCTCTATTAAGGCCACACAATTTCAGTTTCCATAGTGAAAATATATGAGAATAAGGCTGTGGAAATTACAGAAATAAGTAAAGAGTTGCTGAAAAAAATCATTAGAAAAGGATATTTGGTAAATGGACTGACTACCTGCAAAAGGGTTTAAAGAAACGTCAGAAATATATTATGGTTAATACACTGTATTATAAGTCATTTGCCGATAAATATCTTATATGGTATTGTGTATACAATCAATATTTTAAAACCTTTGACATATTACAAAATCAACTATATATTCTAGCTCATTTTAATGTGAACCATCCCCATTTTTTCATGTAACAACTAAAAGAAGTATGGAACGAAACTTACTGTGGTCCACAAAGCAATCTTAGATGCAACCAAATCTTGAGGCATGTTGAGAGTAAACTGTGATTCTGTTGATTCTCCGAACATGCTATATCCCATGACAGCGACACCCGCATACATCAAAGTACAAATTCCAAAACTGCAAAGTAAAAAATAAAAACTCTTCCTCAGAAACAAAGAGTTTCCAAATAGTATAATGTTTTTATAATATGTTACCATGTCACGAGAACCGCAGGGAACTGAGAGGGTTTGGCCATGGAAGTGTAAATATTTGGGAAAACACCATGCCCTGAATAACAATAGCCATAGAGTCCTACAGATACTGGTAACGTTGCTAGGTTCAGAGGAGTTCCTTTGCTGTGAATTCCGACTTCATCAACCAAACCAATCCAGAACAAGCACAAAACCACTAAAACTGATGCAATCACCCCTCCAGCTGAAAAATTAAGGATATGATTAGTTATAACCGAAACTTAACAAAATTGTATACGCTTGACAAAAGTATATAACCAAAGATAGATTTTATTTACAGTTTTAAACTGAAAGCCGAACTAAACCAAAATTTCATGCCAAATTGAATCAAAGTTTGGTTATAATTTAGTATAAATATGTTAAAATGAAACAATTGAAGCAAACCAAGCCGAATGTTCACTCATAAATCACTAAAGATCTGAAAAAAATCAGATGAATCCTTATCCAAAGAATCATCTTTAGATGGTTTATACCTGAAATGTAACTTAATATACTGAGATCTCGAAGCCAAACGGTGGGGAGAACAGCAATGGTGGTAAGCAGAGCAAATAGATGAGGTGCATCTAAATGAAACCCTCCAATACTCAAAGCAGCATTTGGAAATAATGATGATAGATTGTCACTTTCCAAAATTATGTATTCAACACTCATAGCCTACATAGAGAGAACATACAAACATATAACTCTATCATATCCAAAAGAATATTCAGTATTTATCTAAGGCAATTGCAAAAAAAAAAAAAAAATTCTGTATTTACATTAGCATTTCAGTATATGTGGTATTGATAATTTCAGCAATAATATACTTAAAACCAAATAATCCAATATTCCAAGTATAAAACAAGAGAGGGGGAGACACTATGGACCCTAAGCAAAGGTATTGTACTACTCCACATGTGGTCCCTTGCTACGACTTGAGATCCAATTTTAGGTATTTATTGCTAATAAAAATTTGTGTTTTGTCTTTATCAATAAACTTATAAAGTATACTATTGGAGGAACTGCAAGTTGTACTTACATATAGCTCCAGATAAAGTATTACCTGCAATCAAAAAGATGAAGATAATTATAGAATATATATCTTATAAACCTCAGATTTACAAAATATAGATGATGAGTTTCTTAGTAAATTCATTTGTACTCACGGAGACAAGAATGCGGCCTGTGGTGCCAAAAGCAGCATGGCCAATATCAGGATAGGTCTGGAGGTCGGGGTGGCTATCGAGGCAGTAACGCAAAAGCAATCCAGTGTAAAAACAAAGAATACCAAATGCAAAGAGTATGAGAAGTCCCAACCATCCTCCTTCCTTCACAGCATATGGTGTTGACAATATTCCAACCCCACATAGAACATTCACTCCTGCACATGTGTATGTATCTATGTCATCACTCATAAGTAATTTAAATTAATAGTGAGTAGGGGTGACTCTAAGACTTTGGAGGCCACAAACATTTTAGTAAAAACTTTAATAATTTTTTTTTTTACAAAATGGGAGTCTATAACTCTATATCTATATGTCACCATTTACATGACCAAGTAGGTTGATGAAACTCACCATTAAGAACAGCTTGTCCGAATGAGCTATCGTTGGAGACTGCGATCTCATGACACACCCTTGATGAGGCTTTAGAAGAAAGTAAAGAATGAGAGCTACGTTTACGCTTTGGTGCTTCTTCATCTTCTAGGAGAGGTTTTGTAATAATAGCAGGTAACGATTCTGGAGTATGTCTTTTTGTTAAGGACATGAAAGAGCTTCCAAATCTTGACAATGAAGAATTACCCAAAAAACCAGGACTAGGAGATGGTAGACTTCCATAAAGATCAATCGATTGCCTAAAACGTTATAACAGAGAGTAACATGAAAATGGTTAGGGGTCCAAAAACAAAATGTTACAAATTTGAGAATCATGGTTATATAATATAATATACCTGTAACTCTTTGGCCATGCCGTTGAGTATGAGTTAGGTTTAGAATGATGATGTTGGTTTTGATTGTGAGCATCGGAATAATCAGAAAGCGCTCCATCGTCTTCTTCTTCGTACAAGTTCTTTCTCTCGTCCTCTCCATCACTCTCAAGGTAGAGGCTCTGATCAGAAGATGAGTGATTCATTTTCTCACAACCCTTATCCGATAAACGCACGCAACTTAGATTTTAGTGAAATCTTTAAATTACAAAAGACAAAATATTTGATTCACAGAAAAAGTAGGAGTCTAGGCGAGTGAAAGGGCAAACGAAGACCCGGTCGAGGGCAACTATTTGAGTAAAGAGCCGTTAAAATGTGAGTCATTCATATATACCAGTCAGATTTAACTATGGTTAAGTTAATGTAACCATAGTTCAACGCTTTATCCTTTTATAAGTCTCTGGATATCTTAGTATTAAATTATATTTATTTTTGACCAAAAGAAAATTATATTTATTTGAAACTGTAAAAGTAATAAATCATAAAATACGTGAATTTTCATTTTGTTATCTATATATAAAATTTCAGAAAGGGTAAGAAATAAAATTAACAGCTATTCCTTCAACCAAACCTTTCTTATTTATCAAGAATGATTGAATCAAATAATATATCAAAAAACATCCTCTATGAATAATTTATTCTTTAAAATACAGATAAAACTAAACTTATCTGAATTTTTTTTTAAGCATATTTTTACTTTAACTATAATGAAATGGTTCTCCACAGATAAATAATCAGCACAACGAGTTTTTAGATTAGTGATTATAGTACTTTATATATGTCAAATTTCTCAATAGGTATTTTTTCTTGCAAATGTCACATGAGTTGTCAAGAATTTAACATCAAAAACATTATATATATATATATATATATCATTCACTAATTATAACAAATTATGTAAAATCTACAATAATCATCTTGAAGGTTTAAATAAATATACATTTGTTTTATCCAATTATAATTGATTAGATATACGTCTTTCATTTTTAGTCCCATTTAATTTAATTAGTGTTATTAGGTATTTAGTCATTCATTTTTCTATTGATTTTACGTGACAAATGAACAACTAAATACCTAATAACACTAAAAAGGAATGATGAGAAAACCGTATCGGCAAGGGTAGAACCACGTCCACATGGTGTGCATGTGGATCTGTTTAATGATATTTTAACATTTTCTTAACGGCAATGATCCAACCGTATCTCGAAGCCACAACTCGAGAACTTGTACATATTTGTTATCAAATACAAGAACGAACATGCCCACATTTAATCTCCTTTTATTCGCCGCTTCCAGCTATATCTGCGTCTTCACATGCTTTATTATATCTTATATAGTACTTACTTTCAATTATTTTCCAAGTAGATTCAGCAGGTTCTTAGTTGTTTGGGACTATTAGTCTCACATTTGTGCATTATGAATCTATTGACGATCTATTATGGTTCATGTTTATCCGTGCGATAGATGATAAGAAGCTGGACACATGCAAACATGAACACCCATCATTAATTCTTTTATATATTATTATTTTTTTTATTAATATGCAATGTCTGATTATTCGTCAGTAAAACTTATAACTGCAACTAACATATGACCTGGCCTGTTAACTACTTTCTAATTAAATCTATGTAATTTTCATTCATCCGACGCTACATTATTCTGACATGGATAGTCCATAATATCGTCTCTTGTTAGGAACAAACACCTCTCTCCTATATGAAAACTACCATATTAACACCTAATATATCTTGATCACTAACGTCGTTTCCTTCAAATATCCTTTAATTCTCAGGTCAGAAATAAGTATGAAATATACAAGAAGTCAGGAATGATATTATATTCGCCCCAAAAAATATACCACAGGGAAGAGTCTGAGGTTCTTTCTATTATATTTGGAGATTAAGATATCAAGCTAGCTTGAAGGAAAGTTGTTTTGTAGAAAGGTTGCATCAAATTAACTGAAGTTGTCGAGAATCTCATCTATTATTTTACTAATCCCTACGTTTTTTTATAGATGATATGTTTAACTTCTTTTTATTTCAAATTAGATGTTTTCAAATTCTTCAAAGTTATTTCTTCAACAACTTTTCTGCTATATCGAAAAGTAACTGTTTTATTTATAGGTAGGATCTCTAAAACGTCAAGTAATAAAAACGAAAAATACTTATTAGCTTTTAATCAATATTTCGAGAACCTCGTTTCATACTATGGGTATTTAAGATTTTAAAATCTCATCTTATTAGTAATCCCTGTTTAGGACAAGATTAACCGGAGTGTTTATCCTCGGTTTCACCACCAAAAAACCTAAAAAAAATTAAGCACCCTTCCTTATGTTGTTTCCATAAACATCTCATTTTCTGTGTTGCTTGACCTGTTCTACGGGCCCAACGACACATGGCGGTTCGGGATTGATCCTTTTTTTTTTTTTAAATTCAAAAAAAAAAAAAAAAATTAAGCACCTCCTAATGGGGTGTTAGATTGATAATGCTCTTACCACTCTTCCAAATTTTCTCAAATTTTTCTCTTTTCACACGATTCTTGATTCAAATAATTTGAATATTACATGCAATTTTTCCTTACTTCGAGCGATTAAACGTGGTGAGTTCATAGTGAGAAAATGTTTGGCGTTCATCTCATTTTGAAACTCTTTGCTGATGCTGACATTCCCTTTATAAAAAAATGGCTTCAGCAACATTTCCTAGGCCACATACCATTAAAACATAGAGTATTTGCACTCCATATACACACAAAACCTCATATTTAACTTCATACCCTATTTTCCCATTCTCTCTCCTCCCCCCATTATTACTTTTCCCCCTAAACTAAGGCAAATTCCTAAATAACTTTTTTTTTTGGTATATTCAGCAAATTCACCCTAAAACATATCACAAATACATTCATTCAATCCTAGAAAACTCTTGTGTTCGTTAAAGACTGTAGATTTGATTACACAGTTTTTTTTTTCTTACTATGAAATCATTTACCAGTTAAACACACAACCAGTGGAGTTTAATGTAAGGTAAAGAAGTTGCAATCATATGGATGCAAATTTGAAATAGATCTTTAAAGTTTTTTAAATCTCGAGCAAAATATCTCAAAAGCATAAGAAATCTAAGCTTGTTATTGAGGCATTTGAGACAAGTGGCAGTAAGGGACAACTCACTCATCTAACCGGTAAACGGACCGACATTAGACATGAGATCTAAACTTTTATGTGTCATCAGCATCCACATGGTGTTCTCTGATTGGTTTGATCTCAGATTACGTAGTTGTAATACCAGTAAGAAGATCTAATAACATGATGTAACACATGTCGATTTCTGCTTCGTGTTCAGACTTCAGATTGGCTTTTAGGATCGAATTAGGTGTGCAATTAGATTCTCCCACTCTCATCAAGTCATCATCCACGTTGGGACATATATACTTGCTTTCAATTATATCCTCTTTATTAGATAATGTTTTTTTTTTTGAGAAAGGGCTTATTTATTATTATATTTGCCCAGAAAGATCTTGATTCTTACAATAGCAAAGTAAAAATTTGAAACTATATGATTTATTAACCATTAAATAATCAGAATACTTATCTCTACAAAGCAGACTAATTTTTTTGAGTTAAGTTGTGTTATATTGCACACAAAACCATTATTAACTTCCAATTTTATTTTCGTATGTAATAACATTTTACCAAAATTTAACGAAGTAGTTTACATTTAAAAACCGAAAAAGTTGACAACAAATGCAAATTTTAATGAACTATTTTACAAATTAAAAACAAGAATAGGTTGAAAACAAATTTTGAATAATGACGTGGAACTTTGACTTGGAAAAGTCAAAGTTAGGAGAAGGTTTGGAGTTACAAGATGCACGAGCATTATCAAAAAGTGTTATATGTGAGTTGTTCTATTCCAACTCCCACCACGCAAGGATACACATACACATCTTGGTCAATGCAAACACACACACACCTAGACCTATAAATATGTCTTCCCCTTCAGCTCTATGAACACAAGCATTACAGAGCAACCGTTGATAGCTTAACACACACACACAAACATAGAATGCCGAGATACAGTTCCTTAATCGTGTTGTTCTATATATTTCTTTTATCTTTTTCTCCTCAAACGACCTTTGTCAATGCATCAAGACCATTAAAGGAATCCAATAAGTCAGGGCACACGAGCTTGAATACATTTTACACAAGCGGTAGCGAACAAGGAAAACTTCACGGTGGAGCAATGAATGATTGTCTGCCAAAGGGATTTCGCTTCAACTCTGCTCCTAGCCGCTACATAAACAACCATGCTTTAGGTTCAACACTTTGTTCTACATCAGATAAAGCCATTCCCAAGCCATGACCTAATAAAGTCTATGCATCTAATGAATTTGTATATTTCAACTATTTGTTTTAACTCTCTATGCTTGGGTTTAGTTCTTGAATAACCCATGTATGTATTGTATTCCTTAATTTGTTGTTGTGCTTCTATTACTCTGTGTATATCAAGCAGTACTGTCACATAGATCATATGAAAGAAAAAAAGAAAAAAGTTATACTGTTTAGAGAATTAATGAAACTGGTCGGTTCTTGTCATGAATATGTATATGGTTTTTCGGTGATTTTGTAAGAGACACAACACAACATTGTTTTCTTTTTCTAATTACAATCACCGTGACGCGTATGAACCCCATGCACAACAATGGTTACACAGACCAGTCACTAAGTCTTGTCTAAGCACAACTTCAAACTAGATCAACATTATCAATCATTTAGTATTCTCTTATAGTTCTTATTGCGTTGCAAACTAGCCATTATGTTCTCTTTATAATTTTATGGAGGGACAAAAGAAAAACACCATTCTCTATGTGAAGGCTAATAACAAGCCAATCGTTTTTAATCAGATTATGCAGTTCAGACCAGTAGCATCTTTTTTTTTTTTTTTTTTTTTGTAACTGAGAGCAGTAGTATTTTAAGCTGCAACTAGTTTGTTACCAGTTTCTAAGTTGTAAGAAAATCAATGAAATGATTTGCCAAAAGTGAGAAAATCCCAAGAAACATGCAAACATTTGTTCCCTTTGATATGTATTAACAAAGAAACTTATTCCCACACCCAAAATAAATCTTGTAATATTATTACTTGCAAATCATACTATACATCAAAAGACATTGCAGATTATATTTTAACCTTGCAAAATACTTTTTTTTTTGTCAACTACCTTGCAAAATACTTTATACAGATGATTTTTATATTATTATTATTTATTTTTTGTAACAAATGATTTTTCTATTAAAAATTACAAATTAGTTACGGCTTGATAAAGAAAGTAAGAGCCTTTAAATTAAAATAAAACTCGGTTGACAAAAAAAAAAAAAACTCGATAATCGGTTGGGAAAGTCAAGGAGGATCCTTCTTCTTCTTCCTCGACTCGCTGCCATCAACCCCCAAAACTTGGATACGATCTCTCAGCTCCATAATCTCCACAGTCTCATCAATTCTCTGTTTAGAGATAAGCTATGGGATGTGCTGCTTCTCTTCCAGGCAAGTTTCCTCTTTTGTTCTTTCTCTGTTTTGTTCAATTTACCATTCTGGGTGTTCGATTCTTAGTGAGAAGGACCAATTCGAAAGACCAATTTCGAAAAAGGCGAAACCTTTGGGGTTGAATTAGAATATTTACGAAATTTGCGTCTTTTAGGGTTTCCGTGCGAAGAATTTGAATTCGGTTGATGTTTGTGTGTTTGTGTGTTTCAGATAGGAACTCTGGAGCTTTAAATGGTCTGAACAGTTCAGAGAATGCAGCTCCAGCTGATGCTAAGAATCTACGCGTAAAGGTGCCATCTTTGTGTGTTTTAAGCTTCTTTTTTTTGTTTGCTCTCGTTTGGATCGCTATTGTTGTTAGACTGATTCTTTACAGATTTATCAAAAATGGATTTGTAAAAGATAGCTTAAGTGGAATTTAATAGCTAAGAAAGTTCATGCCTTTATGATCTATGGTCTTGCTTTTATATATTAGAGTATTCACATCTCTGAAACCAATGTTTAAGAAACCATGAAATTATTGATTAACGGGCGCCTAGACCGATTTTCAAGACAAATTTTGAGGAAAAAAAAAGAGTCTAGAAAATTCGTTTCGTTTAGATCCGATTTACCGACTGGGTGAACGTGTAGACCAGTTTTAGAAGACTGTCTGAAACACACAGTTTAAGCTAGCTTTGAATAGTGATGGTGACAGTAATCCCTTTATAGAATTGTGGAATGGTAGTAGTAAACCCTCAATTTTCTTCTATCCGTAGCTAAGTATAAGCGAGTATCTGTGTTGCATTATCGTCTTAGAGTTGTGTTGAGACTCTTATGCTACTGAAAGGAAATGACTTTTTCTTTTCTTTCAGTCATCTTCTTGTTGCTCATTTGCTTGTGTAGTTTAGTTTGTCTCTCAAGTTTTCCCAAGGCAGACCGCTAACTTTTGGATTCATTTGATTGCAGTTAGTTCTGTTAGGAGATTCTGGTGTGGGTAAAAGTTGTATTGTCCTCCAGTTTGTCCGTGGTCAGTTTGACGCAACATCTAAGGTAAGTAAAACCTTATTATCTAATCGTTATCTGAAACTTCTTTTAGAGGCATGTGAATGGCTATCAGAGTTTATTGAATCTCAAAAACTATTGGTTATGTCTCAGGTAACTGTTGGAGCTTCATTCTTGTCCCAAACAATAACCTTGCAAGACTCTACCACAGTGAAGTTTGAAATATGGGATACAGCAGGCCAAGAGAGGTGTTAATCCCCTCCATATAGATTTGTGTTGCTTAGTTAATTGCCTTACATGCTCGTTAAAGCTTAATATGTGTTCGCTTGATTTTTTTATTTTAAAAGGTACTCGGCTCTTGCTCCACTATACTACCGTGGAGCTGGAGTTGCTGTTATAGTGTATGATATAACTAGCCCTGAATCTTTCAAGAAAGCTCAGTATTGGGTTAAGGTATGTTTTCAAGTAGTGAAAGGGTTCTATTTCTTAAATGTTTTTGGGATTCATGCAATATTAGCTTCCGAAAATTGACTTACATAAAGGCCTATATAAGTTTAGCAGAGTATTTCCTTGGACCCATATGATTCAGATTGGCTGAAATTTGGATTGCAAAAAGTCATATATATATAACCATAGAAAAGTAGAACAATTATAATACAAGTCATGTATCATATAGTGCTTTTATTTATAACCCTGTCTTTTAAATATAACAGGAACTGCAAAAGCATGGAAGCCCAGATATAGTTATGGCTTTGGTTGGTAACAAAGCTGATCTACATGAAAAAAGAGAAGTACCAACTGAGGTGAGTTTTTGCATAAACTTCTTCAACTAAAATATGTATAACATTTTGTTGTCACCTGTATTGTTCTTTGCTTCTTCAGCGTGTATCACATTCTCAAATTCTTAACAGGATGGTATTGAGCTTGCAGAGAAGAACGGCATGTTCTTTATTGAAACGTCAGCCAAGACAGCAGATAACATAAATGAACTGTTCGAGGTGTGCATTTCTTTATCCCCTCAAGGATTTATGACCATTTTTCTTGTCATCTACGTTGATTGAGCTCTTGTGATTTATTTTATTTTCTTTAGTTTGGATTGAAAGAATGAAACAAAAATTGATAGGCAGTTAGATCTTTGGTAGCTGGTTTTGTTATTTTTTCTTCTGTATCTAACTTAAAAGATTCATAGAAAGTAAGATTGATTTAGAAGCAGATTTGATGTTTTGACTTGTTGGAATGTGTTGTAATGAATAGGAAATTGGAAAGAGGCTACCTCGTCCTTCTCAACCGTCATGATTGGAGTGTTTGGATCATCCATCTTCAGTGAAAAGCAAAAACAACACTTTGTTCTGATTACTAATGTTACGTTCATGTAATGTTGTTAAACGGTATTTTCTATATCTGTTTAAGTGTGTGCTGTATAATGTGAAGATCTGAGGTTGAGACTGGGAAGTTATATGAATCCTTGAAAATGAGAAGCCTTGTCAAATTAAGTATTGATGTGGATTGGTATCCCTTGTCAAATGTAACTAAGAGACAGAGAAAACGTAGCAGCTACTCTACAAGATGGTATCTAATTAAAAAAATAATTTGACAATTTCAAAGGAGACTGCTATAGTATAGGTCGGGGGAAATCATCTACTCAGACTTTCCCCACATGACCTGATTCTCTATACTCGGAGTTTGTCATGTTCATTCGTCTTCTAGTTTTGACTTTTGATATTTCAAGTAAATTTTTTTTTAATGTAAAAATTGTGAGTTTTCTTTTTGTTCATCCATAACTACAGTCTATATCCAAATCCAAAATTGAATCTCCAATCTGACGTGGTAGTGGAATATCTTTTAGTTCAGTGATTTGATTAAAATTTATCAATGTTTCTACACTTAATTTTAAAATTAGAGAAATAAATAAATTATAAAAAATAAAAGATAAAATTAGATGTGGATTCCATATGACGATTCATGATAATGGAGTGTTCTCGTTTGTAAAACGAATAGAATTAGGCCTGGACGTTTGGGGCCCCCGTTAAATTCGGTTCGGGTGCTTTCGGTTTCGGTGCCATGTTCATAAGTCCCATTCGAGTTTTACTAATTATCGGGTCGAATTCGGTTCGGTTCGGTTCTTCTGAGTTCGGTTCATAATCGGGTTATAACCAATGTATAAAATCGTTCAAAAATATTTTTTAAAACTTAAAAAGTTGTTAAAAAAAAACTCAAAATATTTAAATTATTCACAAAACTAACTAAAAATAAGCCAAACTATATAAATTAGTTAAAATTTATTTAAAATAATAAATAAAATAAACTATTAAAAATTTAAAATATTTTAAAACATCTAAATTCCTTTAACATATATAAAAATAGTAACATATTTCACTAATTTTGGATATAGTCTAATCCAAGTTTGGATTTCGGTTCGGTTCGGTTCGGGTTATATCCATACTCCAAAGTACCAAGCTCTTAAGTCCCATTCGGATATTCTTATATAACGGTTCGAATCCGGTTTCGGTTTTTTCGGTTCGGATTAGGGTAGGGAATTCGGTTTGGGATAAAAACGCCAAGGCCTAAATAGAATTATCAATTAAAAATTTAAAATCATATTTGTAGTATTTATCCTTGGTTGTAATATTTTAGGACAGAGAAGAAGACTTTAGGTGTTGTTTAATGTCACGTTGGCAAAACATTAAGCGATATGTCGTTTTTATTAAGGGCTTAATGACTCCATCGCATTCTTCTTCCTCCTCCCTTTAACCATTTTCTTCTTCTTCCTTTGGAGCTCTCTCTGGGATGGAATCAACGAATGAAGAGCTGATGACTCGACTCGTTGACTCCACCAAGCAAATTTCAAAGTTCTCCAATTCCAAAGGCTTCTTGGGGAGGATCCAAGGCGATCTCGTCCGTAGGATCACGCTTCTCAATCCTTTCTTCGAGGAATTGATTGACATCAGTGTTGAATTGGAGGAAGAAGAGATCACAGGGTTTGAGGTTTTGAGAATCGCTCTTGATTCAAGTTTGGAGCTTTTTCGATCTGTCAATGAAGGAAGCAAACTTTTACAGGTTTTTTTCTTTTACTAATTCTTTTTTTAAAGATTTTCTCGTTTGGTAGATGGTAAAGTTAGCAGCTTTCATCTGTTTTCTTAGGGTTTAAGGTATCTGGTGTTTTAGGGTTTTGTTGAGTCTAGCCATTAGAGGAGAAAGGTCAAAAGCTATTTCATTTCTTGATTATATGTGCAAGTTTAAAGGCTGTGAGAGTCATATAATGTTTTTGTTAATTGCCATCATGATGATGTCAAGCATTTTCTCTGATTCATTTGTTGTTTATATGTGCAAGTTTATGGCTGAGAGTCCTAATGTGTTAATTGCCATCATGATATCTATCAATTCATCTGATTTTGCTTTTTATGTTCTGCAAATATATGTGGTTATAGTGCTATGGTGATATATGAGATACATGTAGAAGAGTTCTGATTTTGTGTATTGTTTTTTCTTTGTGTGTGACTCTTTTCATGTTTGTTTTTTTCTCTTCTTTGTGATGGCAGATTGTCCATAGGGATTCTATTGTGCAGAAGTTCCATGACGTGACAGTGGAGATAGAAGCAGCGTTAAGTCAGATACCTTATGATAAGTTTGAAATCTCTGAGGAAGTCAGAGAACAGGTACTTCTCAACGCATTAATTTCTTATATTTTTTTTATTTTGGTTTGAAGACAATAGTTTGCAACTTCTAATGGTATGTTTCTTTGAATTTTTAGGTACAACTTCTGCATTTTCAATTCAAGAGAGCAACAGAAAGACATGAGGACTATGATCTACAGCTAAGTCATGATCTAGCAATGGCAGAGAGTGCTGTAGATCCTGACCCTGAAATCTTGAAAAGACTGTCACAAGAGCTTCAACTCAGCACCATTGATGAGCTGAAGAAAGAATCACACGCCATTCACGAGTATTTTCTTTCATATTATGGGGATCCTGATGACTGCTTCCAGAGGATGTCTTCGCTTCTTAAAAAGCTGGTGGACTGTGCAACAACTCAAAGTTCAGAACCTGATTCATCCACTGGTAGCAAAGTCATTTCTAGACATCGTTCTCCTGTTATACCGGAGTACTTTCGGTGTCCGATATCACTTGAACTTATGAAAGATCCTGTTATCGTCTCCACTGGACAGGTCTGCTTTTGCATTGTACTGAGTTTGATATATTACTTTTGTGTAGTGTTGGGCATTCGAGTTTTCGGTTCAGGTTATTCGGATTTCAGGTTATTCGGGTTGGGGTGTTTAGAACCCGTTTAGGAAGACATTTTTTGGATCGGGTAGTAGGGTTTCTATTTTTCTATAGAACCCAAAGTGGAACAGAATTATAAATAGTTTGGGTTTGGTTTGGGTTTAAAGCCAAAAAATCGGAAAAAGTCCCGATAAACCGAAAAAATATTCAGGTATAAGGGATTTTTTGAATGTTTTTATCCATAAATTATATTTTATATATAGAATTATTTAAAAATAACTAATATCTATATATTATGAATATTCGGATACCTATTTGGTGGTCGGTTTTGGTTTTTGAGTTTAGAAAAATAAGAACTGTTCGGGTTTTTGTAAATTTCAGTCTGGTTTCGGTTTTTTCGTTCGGTTTTCGAGTCAAAGATAATATGCCCAGGACCACATTTGTGTATAATGTTTTAGCTGTTTTTTCTTTCTCGACCGTGCAGACATATGAAAGATCATCAATACAAAAGTGGCTCGACGCTGGTCACAAAACCTGTCCAAAATCTCAAGAAACACTCTTACATTCCGGCTTAACCCCTAACTACGTATTAAAAAGTCTCATTGCTCTGTGGTGTGAGAGCAACGGCATTGAACTTCCACAAAACCAAGGGAGCTACAGAACCACAAGACCAGGAGGAGGAAGCAGCTCTTCAGATTGTGACCATACATTCGTCCTCGCCTTGCTAGAGAAGCTAGACCACGGTACTACAGAACAGCAAAGAGCTGCAGCTGGAGAGCTCCGGTTACTAGCCAAGAGAAACGCTGATAACAGAGTCTGCATCGCTGAGGCTGGAGCCATACCGCTACTCGTAGAGCGTCTATCCTCACCTGATCCTCGGACTCAAGAACATTCCGTGACGGCGCTTCTGAATCTTTCTATAAACGAAAGTAACAAAGGAGCTATTGTTGATGCAGGAGCTATAACGGATATAGTGGAAGTGCTTAAAAACGGAAGCATGGAAGCTAGAGAGAACGCAGCTGCTACTCTTTTCAGTTTATCTGTTGTTGATGAGAACAAAGTGGCGATAGGTGCTGCTGGAGCCATCCAAGCTCTTATAAACTTGCTTGAGGAAGGAACAAGAAGAGGGAAAAAAGACGCGGCAACGGCTATATTCAACCTCTGCATATACCAAGGGAATAAGTCAAGAGCCATTAAAGGTGGTATCGTTGATCCTCTGACGAGGTTGCTTAAAGATGCAGGTGGAGGGATGGTGGATGAAGCTTTAGCTATCTTGGCGATTCTTTCGACGAATCAAGAAGGGAAAGCAGCTATAGCTGAAGCGGATAGTATTCCTGTTTTGGTTGAGATTATTAGGACAGGGTCACCTAGGAACAGGGAGAACGCTGCTGCTATACTTTGGTATCTGTGTATTGGGAATATGGAGAGGTTGAATGTTGCGAGAGAGGTTGGTGCTGATGTTGCGTTGAAGGAGCTTACTGAGAATGGTACTGATAGAGCAAAGAGGAAAGCTGCGAGTTTGTTGGAGATTATTCAGCAACTTGAAGGTGTTGTGATATCTGCTGGTCCATGAAGGTCTTTGCTCTTGTGGTATCTTATTTGTTTCAGTATATGTATAGGAAGACTCTGACTAAAGAATCTTATGTAATGTTTGTACCACTTAACTTTTGCCTCAATTTTGTGTATACGATAAAATCTCTATGAGTAGTATTTGTTAAATTATCGAGTAGTATAAGATAGTATTCTCTCTGCATGTTATTGGATTCTGAAAAAGGTATAGTTTTGATCATGCTATATCTCACCACAAAAGAGATACTACAACATTTAAATACCATTCACTCTGCAACCATGTTCCAGAAGACAGACATATACACAATAAATAAACACACAAGAGCACTCACTCTTTTAGTTTCCAGATGCGGTCCTGGCAATAGCTTCAGAATGTCTTCTATTGGCCGCCTGTAAGGTAGATTGAGTCATCAATAATAAACACACCACTCTTTCAGCATTCATATATGAATTAGTAAATGTTCTTTCAAGTTCTTATATTTGCTGAGTTTTTCTCTGTCCCTTCACTAATGCTTCTCAAATCGAACTTGGACAGGATTCTAGACTTTTTTCTCTTCATGGTTATATATATACTTCTTTAGAGAAGCCAAAGTGCTATATACACAGGCCAGCTAGTCAATAATTTGGTTTAGAAAAATGCAAGAAACATACTAACCATCCGGAATGAATAGAGGAGCATATCCAGAATAGACATAAGCAATATCATCCGGCCTGCAACAAGAATAGTATTTGTAACAACTCAGATAGGCACAAATTTTATTTTTATGATTACAAGAAGTTGGTACAAGGCATAGCAAATCAGGTGAATGAAGGTAAACAAAAATCATGTCAACATGCATTCAGTTGGTGACAACATGATCAAAAAGAATAGTTACCTTGACGTATCTGTGTCTTCAACTATAAGTTTCAATTTACGTTTCACTGTCTGCCAGTTGCTTTTAAACTCCTGTAGAAACCAAACAACAAGCTCTTAGAATATCAGACACACTTAACCTCAGAATACAAGAAGCTTGTTCATTCCACAAAGAGCCAAGAATAATCAAACCTGTTTCTTAAACAATCCTGTTTTTTCCAAGTTGTTCAATGTGGCAACATGCTCAAACCCATAACTGTGGAGTAATTCCGTTCTGAGACACGAAAACAAAATATGATTGTAGTAACAGAAAACAAAAATATTGTAGTAAAGAATGACTAATAAAAGCTTAACTTGCCTTATATAATCAAATTGCTTTTTCGGTAACCCTGAGTTTGTAATAGAAAATAGGACCAATATAGACGCAGGACTTTAGTGAGAGGCTCCTATTTATGTATCATTTCTTATGTACTCAAAGCATCTGTATTAACAAATATAAGTTAATAATAATATATCATATAACAGACTTATGCATTAAGCCATCAACGTAAGATGTTTTTCACATCCCTTGTAACAGACTTACATGTCATAACTTTCTGCCTCAACAAGTGTCTGTTCCATATCACAGATGAGTCGACTTCGACAGCTCCATTACTGATATGCAAAAACTTCAAATAAAGGTTGGAGTCAGCTCATAGAAAACCCAATCGACCAGCTTCACTTAAATCCAAATTGTGTGGTTGTTGATTATCATTGCAATTGCAACCAATGAAACCAAATATTACTATAAAGAACTCAGTAGGGTAATGACAAAGCCCGTGAAAACTAATTTGGCATTCACACCTTTGTAAGACTTTTTAATGAAGAGAAAGCAAAACACTCAATATGATTCAAACTTCTAGTAAAGCTACACAAAGAAAGTATGCGTAAATAGTAAACCAGACGCCCTGGCGGGATTTAAAATTAGTCAAAACAGCAGTATCCAAATTTTGAAGCATTACCTCGTTTAACAGTCCCTCATAAGTTAATTGGGTACACATTGGTGTAACCATGTCAACCTGAAACAGAAAGTATAAAAGTTCATCAGAATTAGCTCTCCCAACATTCAAATCTTGAAGGAAATATTGGTGTTCAAGGATAACATATAAAGCGGAACACATGATAAGCATACCTCTCTATCCAACATAATGAGTGTATCTATTTCAGGCCTTCCCACCTAAAACAGAACTTGCATCATTCAGAATTATGGCTAAATGAAACAGTATCATTTGAAACAATATAAGATAGCGAAATCATTGAATATAGTACTCAAACTTTGCAGGAAAATTTACATCATTCGTATTGACAGGTTCCTCCACTTGCATGCGGTTAAGTATATCTGTAACACGAACTGATCCTTTTTCCTTCGCCCTCACTTTCGGTATAACTCCAAAAGAAAACTATGATAGAAGTCAGCCATGAGAAAGCACTATGTGGATCATAATATACAGAATTAAGTAAATATTCAAACCTCGAGCTCATGTATTGCTTTTGCAACATGCCAAAGTGAACTAACATCACCATCGACAAGGCAATCCTATCATTTAAAAAAAAACAAGATAAATAAGAAGTATGTGAAGTTAAGGCCTTAAGGGGAAAGTGTAAATGAAGTAACAAGTACAAATTGGACAAATGTGAGTTGTACACACTTTTTCAGAGAGGTCAAGCTCAAATGATATCACATCCTCATCTAATGGAAACATATAAAGCCGAAACTCCTTCACGGTAACCAAGTGATGAACTTCTTCTTGCTCAAGAATCTGAAATAGCAGAAGAAAAAAAAAAAAAAAAATTTACTAGTCTCTATTCAAGAGGTGGTGGTAAAATTAACAAGCAAAACTCGATCACAAGTAGTCACTCAGTAGTGTACTTAAAGCTTAAGAATATCAAATGGGCCACATAAATCTGTAGTAAGCTTAATATCTGGGCTTTTTTTTTGTTTTTAACCCAAAGTGTTTTCATATTTTATACAATTTTTATTATTAAATATTATGTTATTAATTAAATTATGTGATTTTTTATGATTTATTAAGTTATATTTATAAAATAAATGATATTTTATTTATCAATTTTTAATGCATGTGTTGTTAACTAAAGATTTACATATTTAAAAGTAAGCATGTTTAGAAACAAAATTTAATATTTTTAATTTTTAATTTTTAATTTTATAATCTATGGATTATAAAAAAAAAGTAAAAATTTCAAAGAAAGCTCAACCAAGCCAAAATAAATTTATTGTGTCTATTTTATTATTACACTACAAATTGGACTGTTATAAAATTGAATTAAATTGAAAAGCTAGACATGAGCATAAAAACCAAAAATGAAAGTATAAGTCAGAACTGACACACAGAACCAGTCATACATCGTTTGAAATGCTCCTGCATGGCTCCACCACCTAGCCGCTTTGGAAGCTCAGCAACAAGGTTTTGGGTGAGGTCCTGTTCACTTCTGGTTTGATGTCTAATGACATCCCCATTTTTTCTCTTTTGAATCTTAATTTGTACCAGCTTCAGTATTTCTTGTTATCAGTGTTTAAAAAAATGTCAGAACTGATCCGAAAGGAACTGGTTCGGTTCGGTTTGCTCTTCATACCCAAGGCTTTTTGTAAATTGTGTGTATGAGTCGGATTCCAGGTCTTAACCAAACTTGATTGAGTAAACCAATTGAGCCAAAATTGATACATTAAAATCAAGTAAGGTCTTCACTGCTATTCAAACCGGGTTGATTAGATAGAAAAGCAACTTTGTTACCATGGGATCACATCAATTGACTTCTAAAATCTTACAAATTGTAAATATATAAGATAAAAAAATATTATAATATATGAAATCATTTTAAAATATATTTTACCTCACTTAATAAATTCAGTACTAGTGTCTAGTTGATATGTCATTAGTACAAAGTGTCCCTCATGTGTCTCAAACTATGGGAGTTTATATAAGTTGAGGTAGACAAGGCCATGTTTATAAATAAATTTGCCAAAGGTTTATTGACTTTTTATTTTGTCATATAGTGGGAAATCATCATAAAAAGGTTTAAGAGAGTGTACGTCCATATGAATATGGGGATCCACTCTCTATTATCAATTCATATGAAATTATGAACCATAGGACCCGCTTATTGACGATGGTGAATGCATCGGGAATGTATGGTCGTTTATGGCCTATGACTGATTTAGTTGATTAAACTAAGAAATGAGAGGAAAAAAAATCCAAAATTTTGAACTAAAACCAAACAGAAACTTTCAATGAAACAATACCCCTAAAGCTTATATCAGCAAGTGATGTAAAAAACACACACAAAAACATTGTACTCAGAGTCTGATTGTATTAAAATCAGCGATTGTGGTTGGAACTTGGAAGTAAATAAATTTATAGATGAAGGTGATTATGGTTTCAAGTTATTAAACCATTTGTAAAATTGACACAATATATTTGCGGGATAAATGTAACTGGCAGATAATCATATGAAACTAATGTTAAAAACAAATTACCAATATTAACACTTTATATATTTATTAAATATCAAATTTATTATTATAATAAATTTAATATAGTCAATAATAATATCAAGTTTATTTTATTTTCAGAAATGAATTTATCCTTTCAGTCAATAAATTGTATATCCTATAAATATTAATAATAGATTCTGAAAATATTTTGTTTAATTTATATATATATATATATTTGTGGTCAAAATCTTTTTATAAAAATATTTTCGTTGAAAGTTTTTATAAATATAAATTATGCTAATAATTAGTAAATAAAAATGTATATTTTTTATTGTAAATACAATACCTAATGTTTATTCTATTTTAAATAAATATTTTTTTTTTGTGAATTGTGGTAAAAAAAAAACCACTTTAAAATCACCTACTAAACCACGAACGCGGGAACCCATATTCTCACATTCATTCACTCACAGCCGTCGTGAGTCGTGCCTCCCTCTCTCCCCTCTCTTCATCTCTTTCCACTTCTCCACGATTTTTTCAAAATTTCAACTTCACTCTCCTCTCAACCAATCTCTCTCTTTCTCTCTCTCTCCTATTATGACTTCTTCTTCGAGTTCATCCTCGGCCGTTAGATCATCGGCCAAACACGCGGCTGAACGGATCCAACAACACTTGCCTCCCAGCAACCCCGCCTCCCTCTCTTCCTCTTCCTTGAACCTACCTTCTAAATCCTCTCTCGTCGCTCCGATCAACCACTCTCCCCGCCCTAAGGAACGATCCTCCTCCGCCATACCATCCCTCTCCGCCGCGTCTCCTTCTACTCGCCGCTCCGGTACGCCCGTTCACCGATCTCAGTCTAGAGACTTCGACGACGACAACGGTATCTATCTCCCTTCTCTATTTGCGTTTAACGGATTTGACTCTCACTGTAGGGAGATTGTGTACTCGATTTAGGGATTAGGATTGTTAATGATGATCGTTTTGATTTTGATTTTTTCGATTTAGTTGATTGATGATGGTGAAATTGGAGCTTCGATACTGAGTTTTGGATTTGAAATTGTTGTTTCTGTACAGATCCAGGGAGGGTGAGAGTTTCTGTTAGAGTTAGACCTCGAAACGGAGAGGAGCTTAAATCAGATGCTGACTTTGCTGATCTTGTTGAGTTACAACCTGAGGTGAGTCACTAAGCCTATGAGAGCAATAAAAAGGCGTTTTAGATGCTTATAAAGTGTTTCTTTTGTTGTTTTCTTGACTAACTAAGCCTATGAGAGCAATAGAAATCGTTTTAGATGCTTATAAAGTGTTTATTTGTTGTTTTCTTGACTAACTAAGCCTATGAGAGCAATAAAAGGCGTTTTAGATGCTTATAAAGTGTTTATTTGTTGTTTTCATTTGCAGATAAAGCGGCTTAAGTTGAGGAAAAACAATTGGAACTCTGAGTCTTATAGATTTGACGAAGTGTTCACAGACACAGCTTCTCAGAAACGAGTTTATGAAGGTGTAGCAAAGCCTGTAGTCGAGGTTAGAAAGTTATTTCTTGGTGTGGGAGGAAGTTTTTTTTATTTTTTTTCGTTTATGGATATTCAGTAGTATTGCGTTGGATCCGTAGGGTGTTCTGAGTGGATACAATGGAACAATTATGGCTTATGGTCAAACTGGCACGGGGAAGACTTACACAGTGGGGAAAATTGGTAAAGATGATGCAGCTGAGCGTGGTATTATGGTTAGAGCTCTTGAGGATATACTTGCCAGCGCGTCTTCTGATTCTTCTGTTTCTGTGGAGATCTCCTTTTTGCAGGTGTGACACTATACATCTTCTTTTTTCATTTATCTCGGAATATTATCACTGCAATGCGTAGGATATAGTCATCTTGTTGAAGATTTAGAGATATCAGAGGGAAGCCTTGTGTGAATTTTTGGAATGGTTCTAGACCTTATATTAAGATCCATGCTTAAGATCTATATTCTTCTTCTTGTAATTCACAGCTTTATATGGAGACTCTACAAGATCTTCTCGCACCTGAAAAAGGCAATATTCAAATCAATGAGGATGGGAAGACTGGGGAAGTGTCAGTACCAGCTGCAACAGTAGTTAACATTCAAGATTTAGACCATTTCTTTCAAGTTTTGCAAGTCGGTGAGACAAACCGTCATGCAGCAAATACAAAGATGAATACAGAATCCTCACGTAGTCATGCAATTCTTACGGTGTGTGATTCCTTTGAATATGTGGTCTAATATGTTTCCTTATTCATTAGCAGAATCCATTTTTTGTACCTAACGATTTATGAAATGTATTTTCTATGCAGGTTTACGTTAGGCGGGCTATGAATGAGAAGGCTGAAACAGGAACAAAATCGCCAAAACCTGAATCTTTGGGAGATAAAGGCATTCCTAGAGTTAGAAAGAGCAAACTTCTAATTGTGGATCTTGCTGGCTCAGAAAGAATAAATAAATCTGGTTTGAACTCCTTCACTGTTCATATAACCACCATTCATGTTATATCTCAAGAGGTTATGATTGAGTTATATCCTTCTTTTTTTAAGGCACTGACGGCCACTTGATTGAAGAGGCGAAATTCATTAATCTTTCACTGACGTCGCTGGGAAAGTGCATAAACGCATTAGCCGAAGGCAGTTCTCATATACCGACTAGAGATTCTAAGCTAACAAGGCTTCTTCGTGATTCTTTCGGGGGTTAGTTTACCAGAACTTTCTTGAGCCATTTTATAAAAACACAAACTCATAAGCGTGGCTCACTTCTGTGTGTCTTAACACTTTCATGTTATTCTAGTTAAACTGGTGCCTATTACATAAATTTTGAAATTGTCTTTTTTGGTACTGGTCAAATAGGTTCTGCAAGGACTTCACTTATAATAACAATTGGGCCGTCTGCACGGTATCATGCAGAAACAACTAGCACAATAATGTTCGGACAAAGGGTCAGTTCATATTTCTGTTGATCCATGATTCTCTGTATTTCTGCAGAATCATAAACTGAGAATGGCACAGTTTTCTGATATTTAATAGTGTCTGTATCTTTCAGAGAATTTTTGTAGTAATGCCTTTATGGTTTTGTCTTGCTTTTACAGGCAATGAAAATAGTAAACATGGTAAAGCTTAAAGAAGAATTTGATTATGAAAGTTCGTGTCGGAAGCTTGAAACTCAGGTGGACCATCTTACTGCAGAAGTTGAAAGACAAACCAAACTACGAAATAGCGAGAAGCACGAGTTGGAGAAAAGATTGAGAGAATGTGAAAACACTTTCGCTGAAGCAGAAAAGAACGCTGCAAGGTGCAAGGTATTTGTCTCTTGTTTATACTGAACTATTGTCTAGTTTCTCGATATGATGCCTTTTATACTATTATCTGGTGCTTATATTTTGAGGGGTGAATCTGAATTACAGTTCCTGGAGAAGGAAAATGCCCGCTTGGAGCTTCGTATGAAAGAACTATTGAAGGATTTGGAAATGCAGAAAGATCAGTGTGATCTAATGCGTGACAAAGCCACACAATTGGAGATGGACTTGAAAAATACAAAGGTACACTTTCCCTCATATGTTCGTACTTCTATCAGCTACTACGTAGAATATATTGTTAGTTGACTACTTCTCTCTTTCGTTTGATCTTTACTTAACTACTCACGGAAGCTCTTGGTTGTTTTCTCTTGAGGCTTGGCATCAGTATTAAGATAAATTTTATGCAGTGTTTTCTTTTGGAGTTGTGTATGTATAATTTAGTAGGCTCTGACAATGGCTTTTTACTTGTTAGTAGCAACAACAACTGGAAGGTTCAGCATATAAGGAAAAACTTGCAGATGCCAGTAAAGTATATGAGAAAAAAATAGCGGATTTGGTTCAGCGGGTTGAGGATGAACAAGCCCGGTCAACAAATGCCGAGCATCAATTGAACGAAATGAAAAATATTTTAAGCAATCAGCAGAAGTCTATTCATGTGAGTTAATTCTAAAACCCTTTTTAAAAAAAATATTGAATGCATTGGTCTTGTGTTCAAACTAATGTTTTTTTGGGTGTTCTAGGACCAAGAGATGGGCAACTATCAATATCAAAGGGAACTTGCGGAAGCCACTTACACATATGAATCTAAAATCACGGAGCTGCAGAAGAAATTGGAAGATGAACATGCTCGGTCTAACTCTGCAGAGGAGCAACTTAGACAGATGAAAATGATTATAAGCGATCGCCAAGTTTTATCACAGGTTATTGGCTTATTCCTGATCTTTGAACTGGATTTTAATAAGAATGATACTTTCAGCTTTATGTTTCTTTCCCTTATCTTTTTTAGCATGATGTATTATATCTTGTGCATCAGCTCTTGCGGAACTTTCTCTTTCAAACTGTTTTTTTTTTTCTCTTGGTTTTGGGTTCAGGAAAATGAAGAGACGAACGAACTCAAGAAAAAACTAGAAGAACTTTCACAGATGTATGAGTCTACAGTAGATGAACTCCAGACAGTGAAATTAGACTACGATGATCTGCTCCACCAAAAGGTGTGACCCCTAAACATCTGGCTTACAGAAAGAATATCACACAATTGAGAGTTGGTCATATTCAAAACATCCAACTGTTGATTTCCCGCTGATGAATGAATATACATTAAAATTTGTTTTGCGTAGGAAAAACTTGGTGAAGAGGTTCGGGATATGAAGGAACGGCTTCTTTTGGAAGAAAAGCAGAGAAAGCAAATAGAGAGTGAGCTTGTCAAACTAAAGAATCTAAGAGAAAGTGAAATTGTTGTTGAGGTGAATTTAGAATGAGCTTGTTTCACCTTCTTCACATGTATTTGTACTTCATGGTCCTGCTAAGTTCATCTATTTCACAGGACAAGCGTATGAAAGAAGATATTCCAAAAGGACCATCAGAATCTGGAGCTCTACCAGGCTCACAGAGATCACAAGGATTAAAGAAGTCTCTATCTGGTCAGAGAGCTACCATGGCAAGACTTTGTGAAGAAGGCATAATTCTTTCTCACGAATTTAGCTCGATTTCATTGTGGGTGTAAACCAGTTGACATCTTCGTTTCTACTTCTATTTCAGTGGGAGTTCAGAAGATATTACACCTGATTAAGTCCGAAGACTTGGAAGTTCAAATCCAAGCTGTTAAAGTGGTGGCTAATCTGGCCGCTGAAGGTGTGTGATTTCATCACTCCATATATTAGCATGTCTCATGGTACCTAAACGACTTTCATTCTCGGTGTGTATGTTTTCAGAATCTAATCAGGTCAAGATTGTGGAGGAAGGGGGTGTGGAAGCTTTGCTTATGCTTGTTCAGTCATCTCAAAATTCAACAATTCTTAGAGTGGCGTCTGGTGCAATCGCTAATTTGGCAATGAACGGTAAGAACTTCTATTGGTGGTTCAAGTAATTCTATAAAATTGTTGTTCACAAACCCGTTAAACTTACTACTATAAGCAGTGCGCCAATTTTGATTTTTATGGTCTCATGTGGCTGTGTCGTTTATTTACAATGCTGATTTGCTTGAATGTTGAAGTTGCATTAGACGGTTCTTGATGCCATGCTTCAATTATATGGTTTCTTTTATAACCGCAGAGAAGAGTCAAGATCTAATAATGAATAAAGGAGGTGCTCAACTGCTAGCAAAGATGGTGAACAAAACAGATGATCCACAGACTCTAAGAATGGTAGCTGGCGCACTTGCTAATTTATGTGGAAACGGTGAGCACAAGATTTTTCAAACGCATCTACTCATCTGCCCCAATGCATGTTTTCACTTTATAGCATATAAAAAGTATATTTGAAGATGCTTTGTGTTGGGAAGCTAAGTACGTACGTATAAACTCTTACTTGTTGTTGTGTTATTGCACAAACAGAGAAGTTTCTTAAGCTCCTGAAAGAAGAGGAAGGCATCAAGGGACTACTCACGATGGCGCAATCTGGAAACATAGACATCATAGCTCAAGTGGCAAGAGGGATGGCGAATTTTGCAAAATGTGAAACTCGCGAAATTATGCAAGGTTTGTTGTAATCACATATTTGCTTAACACAGTCACACCTCATAAAATGCATATCCAAGTCAATTTTACTAATATTTATGCTTTGAGTGATCTTAATGCATTACACAGGGCGTAGAAAAGGTCGTTCTCTTCTTCTGGAAGAAGGTGCTCTTGAATGGTTGACTTCAAACTCACATATTGAATCCGCTTCAACGCAACGTCACATTGAGCTTGCTCTTTGCCATTTAGCTCAAAATGGTAAGCCTTGAGTAAAGCTGATTTCACAATGTCTTTCTCAATATCAAATGTTTGTGCCGTTGAGACATGACTGATATGCATACCTCCCTTATATTGGATGCAGAGGAAAACGCAAATGATTTCAAAAGAACGGGAAGCGTGACAGAGATCGTAAGAATATCAGTGGAGTCGAGTAGAGATGACATTCGCAGCTTAGCAAAGAAGATACTCAGATCAAACCCTCACTTCTCAAAATAAAACATCAAGTAACAGTAAAGGACATGTACATAAACATAACAACTGGTGAGTGGTTTACAGATTCTTATCCGAGTCTGTGCGACATGTCACTAGATTGACTTTTGTGATTGAGATGACGATAATCAAGGAGAGAAGAAGCTAAGGTTATTACAAAACATATGTTAGGAGATTATGTCTTGTGATCATTTACATGATGCTGTATACTGTCTCCATTGGATGTGGACTCCGTTGCTAATTTTTTAAGAACAGTTTTCTTGATGTTTCGATATGTTATTGATCATTTGTTGCAACAAATCTTTAGTAAATACTCCTTATGGTTTGAAATTTCATATGGCCAAGCTCTCCTATGTATGATTGATGTTGACAAACATGGAGTAGATAAAGATGGATGAAACTCAAGTCACCTCATTGATGTTGTGTTTTGCGTTAAAGTAATAAGACATTTGGAATCAGTTTTGTTCTCATTTAACAATCATAAAAAATGTTACAAATGGAGTATGTGAGTGGTCACACGTAGATAGTTCATAACATGAGTAGATGTGTTCGCAACTCCTAATGATTTCTTTTTCTTTGTTCTTTGTTGATTTAGACTGTGGCATTGTTAGATTCTTCTTCTAATCGTAAAGGCCCTCGTCATACCAAATATCAACTAGAAAGTCCACCATCTCCTACATAAACATCAGATGAAAAAAAAAACTCAGGTACTGAGATTAAGTTTTTAGCTTCATTGACTAAGTAGAAAAGGTGATTAGATCAAAGCTTACGGGTAAAGGAATGGACTCAGAGAAAGGTTCATGAGTTGAGAGAAGATCTTCATATGTAGTGGACCAACTACAAGAGATTCAAGATTATGTTATTATATATCATTAGAATATTTAACACTGCAGCAAGAGAAATATGATCCCATTGTTACAATAACCTTATAATCTGATCCTTTGTAGTTTTTTTCCTTTGTCGAGATTGATCTCCCACCCATTTCTCCCTGTTCTCTTGCCACACCTTTGCACCTGCAATCAAGGAACATAGTTATAGAGAGTGATCAAGAACCAACAAGTTAGATTCTCTAGTGGTTACACCGACATAAAAAAAGAACAGAGGGTACGGTTGTTCTGCTACATAACAAAGGTTCATAACAAAAGTTTGACTATAACATAAACAGATAAGAAACAATCATCTTTCTTGTGGCTGAAGTGTGAAAATGTGGTACCATGATTCACAGGTGTAATGGTGTTTTCAGTGTTCTTTTTAACCGAGCTTTTATCTTCTATAACCAGTTTCGAAAGCTCAAGAGGTTTGTTTTCCGTGGACAGACAATTTGCAGTAAAAAGCTCCATTGTTGTGATTCAATCGAATGATCATTCCTTTACGAAATAAATTCGATTATAGAAACATTCAACAAAGAATATCAAAGGTTTCCACACAAGCTGCTAGGAACACAAACATTATATTAAAACCATATTCATCATGAAACTATCATAGGAAAGGGGTTGGTTTAGTTTTACCTCATTGACATTTTCATCAATCAGCTTGTGGGAAAACCTATAAAAGGATTCAGTAAACAAGAATACCAGATTCCTCAGATGAATAACAATACATTATCAATGAAATAACATTTATCTACAAATCATATCAAACATCAGATCTCATTGCAAAATAAAAAACAACAAAAAAAAAGATTCATTTTTCATATTACGTTTCATATTCATTAACAAATCTTCATCTATAAAGCAACAAAATTATTAGAGTTTTAAATGCAGAACTATTTCTGTTTCCGTAGGAAAGATCTTTCTGGAACATAGTGTATTCAAGATCCAATCAGATGCATTCAAGATCCAAATATTTTCTTAGGGATAAGCTAAAGTTCTTAAGAGAAACAGAACATTTACAGGAAACAAGAACAGAGGAAAGAGGATCTACCTAAATGAGGAAGTACCAGCAGAAATGTTGGTAAGAGGATTGAAACTTCTTTTTGGTTTCTTTTAGGTTTATATGTAAAGGCAAACTTTAGATCTTGAGACAAATGAAAATCAACTTAAAAAAAAAGAATTATAGCCAAATATAGAATAGAATAAAAAGAAATTAATTTTAAGTGTTTACTTTGTTGGTAGAAGAGTAGTAATAATAATAATATAATCCATATCTACCACCACTATCCAGACTGTTTTGGGTCAATGAGACAGAAAAATTGAAGTAAGCCCCACGCATATGATAAAACAAACACAGCTTTCTCTTTCAATCATACGTGTATGTGATTAGGAAAGATAATATATCATCCTTTACTATATGGTAAGAGAATTTTAATGAAATTTTTGTCACATGTTGTAATCATATAATTATATTTACAATTCTACATACACTACTTTAATTTTTCCTCAAATTTTATCTCGAGGTGATGGACCATATTTATGGTCAAGAACTGAAGATAGGTACAACATACTTGCGTGTTTGGTTTACCATTTTTGATTTTGCTTTTTTTTTTGTTCTTATCACAATTGCTTACACCTATATTAAGTGATTTTCTCTGTTAGTGTTAAGAATTCAATCATTCCAGTAATAATTTAAGAGTCATAATTTAATACTGGATGAGGGTGGCAAAAAATGAATCTAACCAATCAAATTCAAATCGACTCAAACCCAAAAAAAATCATGTCCCAACAATTTGGTTAACAATTTTATAAGCCCAAACGGTGTTGGAAAAAAAAAAAAAAAAAAAACCCAAACGGTTTGCTTTGGTTCAGTTTAAAACTAAACCGAAAACCCAATATGTTTATTAGTTAAATTATTAATTAAATAAACTAATAATTTAATATTTAAGATAGCTGATCATCTAACATAAACAAGTAAACTTGATTTTATAGCGAGGACATCCAAAAAATATTAACTTTCACAAAAAAGAATCTTTAACTTTTGCTTAAAGCATTATAATCTCCAATTTGTAAGAAGTGTTTATTTTAATTTTAACTCTTGTTGATAACACCGTTTTAGATGATTTGAAAGTCAATATTAAATCGATTTAGCGTTGACTTATCAAATACCTAAAATAGTTTAATCAACAAAAATTGAGATTTCAAATAAACAAATTTTGAAATTTGATATCAACAAAAACTGAGATTTCAAATAGGCAAATTTTAAAATTTGAAAACTAAAATGGCTTAAACTAAAGTGAAAATTATTTTGGATTTTTTGTGTGTAAATAGAGGGGTTTTGGCTTTTTCTAATTTTATATATTTCTCTTCTGAGTGCACAGAGTAAACACAGCTAAAAAGAAATTAAAAGAATAAGAATCTCTTACAAAACCAAAATATTACTTATGATATTTATATTAGGTCTAAATCATGATTTTAAATTTATCAGATTACATCATTTAGAGTTTGATTTTTGGCTTTACATTAAAATATGAGGAAGTTAATAATTAAGTCTCAAATGATGGCTTATTTTATGTTTTATAAACTTTATTTTCTTAACACAAAACAAATTGAACTCAAACCAAACAGAACACAAACTAACTGGACCCAAACCAAACCAAATCAATTTAGTTTAGATTGATTTTTCGTTAAAACCAAACAAACCAACCCGAACTTAAACTAAGATGTCCACCTCTATACGATTCTCTCGTTTATTTCTATTAGGTGGCTTCATGCACCATGTGCAGAATCAAAATTTTTAATTTAAATTATATTTTTATTTAATTTTTTTAATATTTTATATTTTTATTATTTTATATCAGTATTTTAATATAATTTTTTATTTAACTAAATATAAAATTAAAATAAAATAAACAATGTAATGTATTTCGAGTTCTATGTAAGAATATATAAGTATATATATATTTAAAATTATAATTTCAGACTGATTTTCGTTTATTTATTTGGGAGAAGATATATTAAATCAATTTGTATAAAATTTAGAAAAATAATACAAACTTGTAAAATTTTCATAAAAATACTAAATACAATTTCTATAATTTTGGATATCAAAAGTAAACAAATGGTAATGTTTAAAAAACATGGTATAACATTTTGAAAATCTTATTTAGTAATAAATTGTATAATTTTAGATAGAGAAAATACTATTTCGAAATTTGTAATTTATTATTATTATATTATTTAATATATATTTTATATATCTATTTTAATGATGATATATAAGTTATTACCATATTTTTATAAATTAACCAAAAATAAAAATAATATTAAATGTGATTTTCCATGTCACATTTTATCTTAAACTATGTCATATTTTTTTATATGACATGTCATTATTTTTAAGTGAAATTAAATGTGGTGATAACATATGTCAAAATCATTTCACAAATAATGTATAAGGGATTTTCCTGCCTGCTCAATGTTCGGTTTAGGAAATTAGATCGTATTCCTTTGGTATAACAATCTAAAGACCAAGGAGGATTGATATGACATATCCTCATCAGATTCTTATTCTTCGCATAGCTTTTATCAGATAGAGTACGTCGTTTTACAAGTTGATCGATAAGGTCATTTACATGTGTCTTGTGTGGGTACTGGGTTGGGTATATATCTAAGTTGGTAAAACAAAACAAACAAGTGTAATCATCATCTCATGTATTAAGGAAAATTATAATCTTAACTAAGTTATGACCTACCAACAAGGCAACAACTACAATGCTTATTATTTACTAACGCCCAAAGCCTCAAAGTTTGACAATCAAAATGATGTATGTTTCAATGGGACATCAGGAATCACATTTGGGTTGGTAAACCGATTCAAAAGGTATAAATCACATAGAATTTAAGCTCACACGAAGCAATCCATCACCAAGACAAAACAAAAGGTTTCACAATCTGTCTTTCATTACAGAGAGTTTTGATACACACAAAGTTCATAGGATATGTTACTATCTTCTCTTTTTACAAGTCACTAGTTGAAAGGGATAACAATATCGCCAATGTTTTTGTGCCATGGATCCGCTAAGTGAGTAGCCAAGTTCTCCAATGGTCCTGTGCCTGGGTAGGCTGATTGTTGCACACAGAAACCTACAAACGCCAACAACGCAAGACGTCCTGTCACAAAGAAAAAAACACATAACATGAGATATACATTTTTATTAAAAATGATATAAAAAAAATGTAACATGTGTGTATGTGTTTCACTTACCATTCTTGATCTCCTTGACTTTCAACTCCTCAAACTTCTTTGGGTCTTTGGAGTATCCAAGAGGGTCAAATGCACCTCCAGGGTACTTCTTTTTCTCAGGGTCTTTCTCCATGCTCCTCTGGTGCTCAACAAAAGCAATTGCTAAGAACTCTATAGCCAAGATTGTGGGCAAAGTACCCCATGGGACTGGGTTCCCTAAGTAAGTGGCTTGTCCTCCAGGTACTGCTGCCCATTCTTGAGCCTTGACCCAGTTTCCGTATCCTAAAGCCTCTGGTACCAAAATCCCTGGCTGCATTTCACACCAAAACATTAACTTAAAAAGGACTAAAGAGATTGAATAATGAAGTAAATGCTGAAACTTACAACAGCGAGCATAGCCCATCTGCAGTGGATGAGCTCTGATTCTTTGTATCTCTCAAGGTTCTCTGGTACCTCTCCAAGTCCAAGAGGATCAAACCCAAAGTCACTGCACAGTTTTAGTACTAAATAAGCTTAAAAACTGAAACAGAGTATATGCAAGACACACATCTAAGGTGTTTCAGAGTATGCAAGAAACAGAGTAAAAAGTGACGACTTTCTGATTTGTGAATCATGCGAATAACTTAAAGACTGAACCTTTAAACACCATCCAATGTAGAAATCAAAACCCAATATCATCATCAAATACATAACTAACAAACTGAGAAACATAGACATAAAGTTTTCAAATTTGAGCAGGAAACAGAGAACTACTTTCTGATTTGTGAATCAAGAAACAAATCAGAAACAGAGTACCATGTGTGAATCATGGACATAAAGTTTTCCTTTTATTCAAGAAACAGAGTAAAAGGAGACTACTTTCTGATTTGTGAATCATGCCATGTGTACCCAATAACTTAGAACCTAAAACTTTTAAACAGCTTCCAATGTAGCTATCAAAACCCAATAACATCATCAAATACATATTTAACAAACTGAGCAACATAGACATAAAGTTTTCAAATTTGAGCAGGAAACAGAGAACAGAGATGTTTCATAGTATGCAAGAAACAGAGTAAAAGGAGACCACTTTCTGATTTGTGAATCATGCCATGTATACCCAATAACTTAAAAACTAAAACTTTTAAACGGAAATCAGAAGTAAAACATCATCATCAAATACATATCTAACAAACAGAGCAACATAGACATAAAGTTTTCAAATTTGAGCAAAAAACAGAGTCGAGAGATGTGATTGGTGCTTACCCAGGAGCAGAACCATCGAGGTAAGCTGGACGTGGCTCGCCAGGCATCCAGTGAGCAGCCATTCTTACGCGTCCAACGTTCCCAGCGTTGGGGAGAGAAACTCCGGAGGAGGCGAATTTAGACTTTGAAGAAGAAAGAAGGGAAGGGTAGACGGCGGCGATGCCGCAACTCATGAGCGAGTTCGACGCCATTGTAGTCTCTGATCTCTTTCTGTTTACTACAAAGAAGAAGAAAGATGTGAAGGAGAGGTGTGTGTTTGGATGTTGTCTGTGTGAAAAGAGTGATCCGTATAAGTAAGGTTTTGTAGGAGGGAAATCTAAATTCAGATTGCTATTGGCTAGAGTGAGCTCGCTTGGCTATTTTATTGGGCCACGTGTACTCTCTATATCATGTTGATATCTCTATCTGCTCTTTGTGGTTCAGACATAGGCAGAATCTATGTAATTACCTCTTTTGCCATTTATCATCTGCAAAGATAAAAAAAAAATCTAGAGCGTCAGAAATATTGGTGTAATGTATACCACAAGAAATTAAATCAAACTTTTTTTGTGGTCTTTCCTTATTATTCAGTATTCACCAACTGTTACTTGTAAATATCTTTTCGAACCTTACAGATTTTTTTGGTAGAAAATGGATTCTAAATCTAGTACACTATTGAAAAATCCAATGAAGGCAGCAACATGGAGGATTCTGAATGAGGTAAGATTGAAAAGTGTTGCTAGCTAAAGAATGTTAAATCGGTT